ACGCTACATCGCGCGTGCAGGGATAATCAGGAATTGGCCCCTGGATCAGCCAGGCCGATCTCACCTCTGGGCATATCCCGCCGCCCCTTGCTTTTGCTCATTCGCTCTCACGTCGACGCTCCCGTACGTCACTCGGCGCAGGTCCGTCGCAGTCTATTGGTGGGCGTCTGATTGCTCAACATCGTTGGGTGCTGGCGGTCATTATATCTACCTCCAGATCGTCGTTCGAGTACCGCGGAAGCTTGGATCCTTCTGAATCATGAATTGTCACAGCATCCCAGCGTAAATTAACATTGGACCCTTTCAAGTCGACGAATTACACGACTTGTCATCACTCTCAGTTTTGCTATTTCTCTTGAGCTATACCAAAGACTTGTCAGAGAAGCCGGCCTACGAAACCATGAGACCTTCATCGTCTTCGAGGAGAGGCGACAAGCGACCTTCGAGGACAAACCAGAGCCTCTTCTTCGCGCTGGCCATATCCTCGCAGCTATCAGCAGCCAACGCTATCGTGTTCCCAAGCTATCACCCCAACTACAAGACCGACTACCTTCAACTGAACAAGCGGTACAACCCCGCCAGACGAGGCCCACCCGAGGACTGGAATGGGAGAATCCCCTTGAAGGTCACCAACTCATGTCCTGACACGATCTGGCCCGGCATCACAACGCAGCATGGCGTCGGTCCTGGAATCGGTGGTTTCGAGCTTGCCTCGGGTGACAGTCGAGACATGTGGGTTGGGCCAACTTGGCAAGGCCGCGCTTGGGGGAGAACCAATTGTACCGTCAATGGAGAGTCGGCAGGCTGCGAGACGGGTGATTGCTTTGGAAAGCTTGACTGTGAATTCAGTGTAAGTCTCGCCCTCTCGAATGCGACAGACGATGGCTAATCAACCTAGGGTGCTGTTCCCGCAACTCTCGCCGAGTTCAACTTGGCCGGCGGTGTCTCTGGACGCCAAACGTTTTACGATATCTCCCTGGTCGATGGCTACAACATCCCTGTGGGCATCAACTACATCCCCGCCGAGAACACCACTTATATCCCGCCAAATCTGACCAACTGTGCCTGCATCGCAACGACAGGCTTCCTGTCACAACGCGCGGCAAGCGGCACCGTCTACACCAACAGCACATACCCTGTTCCTTGGGAACCGACTGAGTCCAACGAGAGTTCCAAGGACTGGTGCCCATGGCCACTGCTATCCAACCCGCCAGACAAGCCCGGCGACGGTGTCTATCCCTATCCCGATGACAATATTCAGCGTCCGACCTTCAGCCCGTGCAAGAGCCAATGCGCGGCCACGAACTCGGATCACGACTGTTGTATAGGCAAATGGCATGACCCCAATAAGTGCAAGCCAGGCTTGTACTCCAGACACGCCAAGGCTCTGTGCCCCGACGCATACAGCTTCGCCTTTGACGACCAAACATCGACCTTCATCATCCCATCAGGCGGCGGCTGGGAGGTTGTCTTCTGCCCCGCTGGAAGGAGCACTAACATTCTCCGGACCATGGGACCGCAGCTGTTCGAGCTCGCGAGCGCCGGGTTCCTGAGCCAGAAGAACCTGGACCTGGTTAAGAATCAATCCTACATAGAGTCTGAGAGCGAAAAGAACGCTGCTCCAGGCCTGGCTTCGTCGTCTCTGTGGGCCATCTGTGCGGCGGCTACAACCGCTGCCATGCTGTTGGGTTGGTAGATGCCTTGGGGTTGTTTGCTTTTTTTGCTTTCTCTGGAATAAGCACGACGGGGCTGGACCCACGCAATCTGCCGTGCTTCTTTGCAACTTTGGGACTTTTGGCATTGGGATACCCTGGAATGATTGTACGAGGCATGGACGATAGACGCATGGCGCAAGACGATGATACAGAGGCTCAACAGTGTGTGCTAGAAGACACTATAGCCGCAACCTTCCTTTCGAGTACCTAGAAAACTTATACCCATGATAAATACAATACACTTCATACTTTATAGAGACTGTGCTTTTCATGAATGAGGCGACCATGAGAAGCCGCCGTCATCCTATGCGTTCCGAATGAGGACCACAAGATCGTAACCAGATTTCTAATCATTGAGGAAACAAACGTTTACCGAAGCTTACTTGCAAGCTCAGTCACTGGTAGTTGTGTGCGACAAGCGGAGAGTTTTAACCTTTCGGAAGGGAACCGACGGAGACGGGGATCTGCCGCCGCGGACCCGGGCCAGAGTGTGCACATATCATTATCAGGTATGCTCTCATCTCAGAAAGACCATTTCTTGAATATTGGATACTTCAAAAGTAGGCATGAATCCATTATACTCTAGACCTGAACAGGAACACCTTGGCAACTACTGGAAAATTTGGATTGCAATAATGTACCTCGAAAAAAACTCGGCTCAATGTTCCCGACTCTGTTTATCTATCCTCATCTCGCTCCATCTCTCCATCTCATGGTACTTGTGACGTGTTTTCTGTTTTCTGTCTTTCTCGTGAGATGAAAGCCGCCCCCCCCCCCCCCAAAAAAAAAAAAACACCTTGACCCATGAATCGTGACACTGGAAAAAAAGTCTAACAGTTGTGAAATTCTTTTCTTTCTCTTTCCTTCCTACATCGCCTCTTTCCTTCTTGTCTCTCTCTCCGTACTCCGTACTGCCGTGTTGTTTTTGTACGTGTCTTGACCCTCGCCTCTTCTTACCCCCCGTCATCTAATGCGAAGGGGTTGATGGGAAGAGGCGAGGGGTTGACATGGAACAGATGTACCGGCGAAAAAAAGGGCAACCAACTTGTGCTCGAAATCTGCAAAATCCTCCCTCTTCTCTGCCTTTCACCGTGAGGTCATCAAAACGCCCTTACAACCATAAGACTTCAGCCCTTGCGCGCGGCACGCTCCCTCCGTCTCCGATCCCACTCGGCCCTCTCCTCGTCATCACTACCACTAAACTCGGCATCATCGTCACTCTCCTCGTCGTGGGCGTACCCCGCAGGCACAGGAGGCGCAGCAGAATTAGGAATCGCAGGAGGCGCACCAGGGGGCGCCGACGCCGGCGGCGCACCACTCGCACCGCCCTTGCTCTTCTTGCCCGCAGACGAAGAGTCCACGTTGATAAAGTCGCCCGCGTTGAGCGAGGCGTACTCGTGCTTCTGGATGAGTTCGCGGAGGGCCGGGTTGCGGGGGTCGACGAGCTGGAGGGGGGTGAGGCCGCCCTTGTTCTTGATGCGTGGGCTGGAGCCGGCTTCGAGCATCATGTCGACGAGGGCGTTGCCGAATTCGCGGTTGGCTTGGGATTCGTTGTTGATCCAGCGGATGGCGCTGTGGAGGGGTGTGTCGCCTTCTTGGCGGTTGATGGGGTCGCATTCAAAGTTTGGTTGGTCGAGGAGGAGGTCGATTATGTCGTCTGTGGGAGGGTATTAGAATTAGCATTCTGCCTTTATATAGTTATGAGGGGGATGGTGTGAGAGAGGAAGAAAGTCAGCGGTGTTGAGGGAAGTTTCGAGTGTCGAGATAAAGTGCGTGATGGCAAGACGTACAGTTCCCTCGGGAGGCAGCTTCGTGGTAGAGGTGGTTTCCCATGACGGTGGTGGTCTCATTCAGGATGCGGGAGAGCTCATTCTCGTCTTTGATGCCGGCGATGACGTCGTTGAAGAGTTCAGTGTTGTCGCGCCGCGCGGCCTCGATGAGGAGTTCCTTGACGGAGGCGCCCTGCAGGTATCGTGTCAGCTCTTTACTTTACATTTCTTGCGAGGGGAATGCTTCGGTGTGGTGGAGAAGTGGGCGAACGAACCTCGTGCTCCTCGTGATCCCCTGCCATGGTTGTGGAGTTGTGTATGTATGTGGGTGTGGGTGTGCGGTTTTGTTCACGACGAGGCTATCGTGGGGATGGAGGCGTTCTCGGGGACGAAGGGGAAATGACGAGGGTTTGCTGTTGCCGTGCTGTGCTGTGCTGTGCTGGGTAAGGAAGGTGGTGTTTCGAATTGGCCTTCCGTGCTGGGTCGGGGAGACGTCGCTTTTGGCGGGGTTCGTGGATCGGAGGTCACGGCGGGAAGGAGTTGAGGTAGAAAGGACGGTGAGGGGTAAAAAGTATGTAGTGGTGCCCTGGTGGTCGTTCTTTTCTCAAGGTGCGTTATCGTAGGGGGGAAGTGAGGGGCGATAGGCCAGGTACGAAGGGCTCGTCCAGGGCGGTGAATATGTGAGGTTGCGGGAGAAGAATACCGCACAGTGGATGAAAGAGGAAGAAAGTGAGTCGCGCAACGTCCGATCGCGCTGTGAGGTAGATCTGGGTTCGGGGAGATGTTGCGAGTCGTCACTTGAACTTTGGGCTCCGTTTGGCTTTCAGATGAGAGTGAGGTGCAGCTACGTAGGTACCCAAACTTCCTTTCTACACAGTACCTTACCTATGCAAAGGCTCGTGGGGCTGAGAGGCTACGCGGCAGTTTCCAGGTTTGTGGTGTCAAGGAGGTGGCAGTGATCGCCAAACCCCTGATCCAGAACAGAAGGGCCTAATTTAGCACCTTAGGTACCGTGAAAGGCGCCCAAGTCACTTCCCGTCCCTCCGAATACGTCCAGTTACTTGCTAGGTGGCCCAGCAAGGTAAACCTCTGCAGCAGCAGCTTGTTGCAGCGCTTACAACGAACAAAGGGCCAGCAATCTTGGAAACAGTCCGCCAACCCCGCTATTTGCACTTCAGGTGGACGGACGGGACGGGTAAGGCGGGGTGAGAACGGGTGCCTCTTGGAGGGGCACGGAACATTATTGCGGCCGGGTTCCGGCGGGTTGGACTCCTGTACCGTTTTTCAACCCCCCTACATGACGCTGGTCGCTGGTGACTGTTCCCCGGCTGGTGAATGGCGGCTTCGTCCCCCACCGTCACATTCGAGGCCCGCTGAATTTTCCAGGACAATCACACCGAGGAGCGATTTCGCGGTGAGCTGAGCACATCACCAAGCAGCAAACCATACCTCCGTGACCATTCAATTGCTCGCACAAACAACCGCTGCGTAATTGCAAACCACACATACCGCCAAGATGTTGCTCTGTGAGACTCCAAAGCTCCCGTCCTCCCACCCCTCCTCCTCTTTCTATCAAGCGCTTTTCGCTAACAAGACAACAAAAACCCAGTCTGCCCCAACTGCGCCAACATCCTCACCGTCTCCGCCTACGCTGGCGTGCGCAACCGCCTCGAGTGCCGAACCTGCCCCTTTGAGCACGCCATCACCGAACCGATCTACTCCCGCCGCGACTTTGAGCGCAAGGAGCGCGAGGACGTCTTTGGCGGGCCGGGCGAGTGGGACAATGCCGACAAGGCACGCGCACAGTGCCCCAAGGACGGCTGCAACGGCGAGGAGGCCGCCTTCTTCCAGGTCCAGATTCGTAGTGCTGATGAGCCTATGACTACGTTCTACAAGGTATGCTGTTGTCGATGTCTCTTATTGATAGGGCGGACTGCTGACTGGGTGTGTTTGCAGTGCATGTCGTGCGGAAACAGATGGAGAGAAAACTGATGCTGGACGAGAGGGAGGCTTTGGGATTTTTCACTGGGCATTGCGAGGCGTTGGGGACGATGTGTGGATTTGTTCTTGTTTGGTCCTGCTATACGCAACGCGCTGCAGCTGCGTTTCTATGTTTTGGAAACTTGTTCAGAGGCTGCTTTCCCTAGTGGATCGCTTCCGCAAAGCGAGTCTTTGTCTACGACTTGCTTGATCATATGACTGACGGTTCCCTATGACCCTGCCCTATCTTGGTCATTAAATTCGTGATATGTCTGCTGTCATGCTGCTTCAGGCCCGCGCGCGTCTCCCCCCCTCAGGTCGCCTCATATCGCGAACGGTCCTTGGCTCCTCGATCCCATGGTCTCTAATGCTAGCCGTATGCTCGCGGCAAATCTCGCAGACACCCAAGGCTTGTCGTCCCAATCCATGAAAAGAACAGGAACCAATCGCGTGATTACCAATGGCGTGCCCATGTGACACTCCCAAACTCTGAAGGCGCATTCCGTCCAAAGCCTCACGCATCGCTCCGGTGCCAGTCGACCGCAGCCCGCATCCCGTCGTCCATCAGCCTCTGCACGAGATCGGGACTGATGACGTCCTGCCGGAATTGCTCCTGCTGCAGGAGCTCGAGGTGCTTGAGCGTCGGGCCGGGGTACATGAGGTACTTTAGGTACGGCGGGCGGGTCCAGTACTGCAGGTAGGCGAGGTAGGCGACGAAGTCGGGGCGGGTGAGGAGTTTCTGGGTCGCGAGGTGGTTTAGGTAGAGGGGATTCGCGAGTGATTGGACGAACTGCGCGCGAGTGAGGAGGTTAGCGGAGGCTCTCTCGCTTCTCATGATTGATTTCGTCATTGTGTGTTCCATGTTGTTGCGATGGGGGAGTAGAGTGCGCGCGCGAGGATGGGTGCCTTTGGGAGATGAAGAAAGGGTGTGTAATTACCTCGAGCTCGATTTCGAATCGCGTGTAGCCGCCGTAGACTGGTTCATTGTCGGGCGGAGGGGGCGGTTGATCTGGTACTGTTGTCGCCATTGTCGCAACTGGTGGTGTGTGTGTGTGTGTGTGTGTGTGGGAGGGATGCGATTGTGAAGTTCGGGGGATCTAATGCAAGGTAGATTGGAGTCCATGGACGGAAGTGGAGACTGAATCTGGAGCTTGGACAGGGGTCCACTAGCTCCTCCAACGGCTGATTGGGAGTGACAGAGCTTGCATAATCAAGTCAACTCAAATCTTTGGGAGTGAAGCCTGAACAGCACTTGGTCCATGATGCTCTCGAGAATATGACCATGTTTGTCCACAAAAGGTAATAATATGAATTAGACCGACTGATAGTCTTCTCTGGCTACCAAGATATGCTGCCAATAGAGGCTAAGTGGGCAGCCACATTACGTTTGGTTCCATACGATTATGTGCCTGATTATGTATCTATCTAGATTCGTGTATGGGGGCCATAGCTTGGCCTCAAAGACAGTTTGTGCGTTTCTCTTCTCTGCAAAAGGTCTCAAACCGACCAGATTTGGGGCAGTTCTCAGTAGTGAGGTGGCGTGAGGTAGGCAGGATTGGTCCAGGGTCAAGATGGATAACCACTGCATACATTATCCCCAAGCGAGCAACGCCTTCATCATGCTCTTCGTGGTTCGCTGCTTACAAGCGGTAAGTAAAACAATATATAGACTGCCAGCCCCCTTTCTCATTCCCGTAACCCTAAAGGAGGAAAATTGTCTTACCCGGCTCCCATCTTCAATGGTATATCATTCAGTGAATATACTCGGAGAACCCCGCGGAACCCCCGACTTCCTGCGTGCCGCTAGAAGCGGAGCAGCAGAAAGAGACCTTCCATCGCATCTTGGGGTCGCCAATTCCTCAGACAAGACCAATGATCTTCTCACGAGTCCACTCTCATCAACACAGCCAGGGAAGTCGACCTCTTGGTTGAAGATACCCCGGAAGAGGACCGTCCAAAATTGCTTATTATATAATAGCAACACAAGGCTCATTCGAGCTAAAAGAGTACATTAGCGAATTTGACTTTGCACAAAAGCCGGTAGCTTGCCAAACACATCGGCCTTTTCAGCGACAATGTCGACGACACGACAACAAATACACTGCTTGTGTTCTTCAAGAGACTGTCAGAATCCCCAAAGCCTCTCAGCACCTCCATCTACCTGAAGAACTCTTGATGGAATCAACACAGAGATTCCGATCTACGATTTCTGGCGGACAAGGTAGCGTCGATAGGTTGACAGACCTGTATCTACTTGCCTTCTCCCACACCCGGTGCACTCAGTAGAGTAGTCTTCGCGCGCAACGTACATCCGAACTACTCATGCGGACTAGATTCACTTCTGGGTAATAGAGATTGCAGTCCCTTCTAGCTCTTGCACGAGATCAGGGTTGCTGACATGTTATGATAGAGAAGTGGACTCTAATACATAATCGGAGGCCGTGCTATGCGCCATATGAGACCTTCTCATGTCATCTACAAACAATAAGTGTCAAGAGACTTTGGAATAATTATCATAGATCAACTCATGCATTCACAAGAATACAATTAGATTCTTGAGCGATAGATTCTCTACTCGAAAATCTTTTCGAGCCAACTTGAAGGCTGTGGGAATCGAATCATAGGGGCCGTCCAAGGATTCCGAAATTTGCTTCACGTCTATCAAACACATCATACTCATCTGAGACGGAACGAATGGGCTCCATGAGAAATTAAGGAAGTTACTCAGGTGAGTGAGTAAGTAAAAGATGCTTCCTCTGGCTCGTCACTGTTCTAGCTCTCAGTAATCACACGAAGTAGTTATGCAGTAGAAGCCAGACTTTACAAAAAGAAAAGAAGAATCAGAGGGGGGACACTGACCTTGTGGTTCATGCCCTTGCCCGGGATCGAATAGCGCTCCCCTCAGTCAACCCAAAGTATGACTTTATAGGAGTATTTGTTTATTAAACCACTCGAACACCTCGCACACAGCTTGGCCTGACTTCACCAACCTACCTAGACGGGCGCTGCTGTACTGGTGACAGAAATGTGACTAGACCCCTTAAATAGGGACATACGCCAGCGATGGAAGGAGAGCTGTTGCGATGGGAAGGAGCGAGGCATTTGATACCTGTGTGGTTGAATGGGAAACCTGAGGCTGAGCGTCGATTTCTTATGTGCGTGATATTATTCAGGCTACCTTATGAAAGTTTAAGACTGACCACCTCAACTCGGATACTTTTCGTGTGCTATGACAGCTGCTTGGATAACATATGGTGGGAGTCGCATGCCATAGACCCAGACAACGGTGGCCTTGAGAGAAGCGGTTGTTCACTTTAAATTCCAGACATACGCCCTTTTGTTGAACCCTCCCATTTTTGTCTCTCTTGCCTTGTCTAAATCTAAATTACAAGAACATGATAGCTATTGGCAAGCTAATGAGTGAATTATCTTCATTGACCTCGCCCTCGCAAGCCAATCATGGTGGTCAACTTGTTATTTCTTTTTGAGTCTATTACTTAATGACATGAAATTAAAAACATGTATTCAAGTAGGAATAATTGCTCTTCAGACCTCAGAATCCATTTCTTATCGATACTTAGTTCTAGTCTACCGTCAATGCATAAGCGGAGCTGGCATACTATATCCTGGAATCTGGTGCTTGTCAGCACATGGCATACAATAGTGATTGTTGCTCTCAAGACATACCAAAAAGCTTCATTGTCCCGAAGCTAGTCGGGCGGCTTTAGCCCGACGACGAAGCCCCACTAAATAAAGACATTTCTCCACTGAAAAGTTGGGGATCAGCGCCGGGAGGCAGAAGCTCCAACCAGGGGGAAATTTCGCGACCGGGACCGTCAACCTCTTGCAAACGCCAGCACTGCACAAGAATCGCCAACTTTTTCTTTGCCCTTCCCAGACCACCTCCTGGGCCCAGCGGCAGAAAACTCCAAGATATCCACAAGCATGGCCTCGAAACGCAGCTACGAAGCCTCCGAGGGCAACGAAGGCGCGCAGCAGCCCGCGTCCAAACGCAACAAGAACAACAAGGCGCGCGACCACCAAAATGCTCATATCGATCCGACGTGGGGACAGAAATACGTCTTCTCATCTGCCACGGGCTCGACGACGGTACCGGTGGATCCGGAGCTGGATTTTGAGGATGATGGAGATGCCATGGCGTATCTCAAGTCAGTGAGGTAAGAAATGCCCCCTTTTCACTGGGCTATCTTCTTTCCCATGTGCTGAACTGGTCTTTGAAGTAGCGCGGGTTGATGCTGATATGGTGAGTATTTTAGGACACAAGCAAACGGTATACCGCACCTCCTTGTGGCACCAAAGGTCCCGATCGGCCCACAACTACCGAAAGAGCTCCAGTACGATGACGGCGACGTGGACGATGCCTACGAAGCGGAGGAAGGTGATCGCAACATCTACACCACAGGCGAGGGCGACTTTAGGGGATACTACGCCGACGGCGCATACACAGCACGACCCGACAACTGGGGCAAACCTCACGCGACCCACGACGACGACGAAGCAGAGGAAGGCGAGTGGCCCGGCAACGAAGGTATCGACGACGCCGAAGACCAATACTCAGACGCCGGCGCCGACTCCGAGTCCGCCATCCGCGAAGCCTACTTCGCCGCCATACTCACCCGCTTCAAACGCCTCCGCAGACTCCTCCACGCCACGCCACCCGCCTCCGCCGTCGCCGCCCTGCACCCAGGCTCCCCCCACGACTTCCGCGTCGGCGCCTTCGCGCCCAAATCGGCAACCTACAAAACCTGGTCCAACCGCCTCCGCGACGCGGACCCTCTCCCGGCACAACTCGCCTCCATGGACAAAGAAGGCGTGCTGCGCGTCCTCCGCGTGCTGCTGGGCGGCGGCGCGTTCCTCCGGCGCGGGAGCGAGATGAGGGAGCGCACGAGCCGGTGGCTGTGGGCTCTGCTTGCGCGGTTACCGGAGCGTGGGGAGATGAACCACGTCGAGGTCGGGTGGGTGAGGGATCTGGGGAGGCGGGCGGTGCTGATGATGCAGAGTCTGGCAGACATGGCTGCGTTGAGGGATGCTTTGGAGGGGGAGGGCATGGATTTGGGGGTGAATGATGCTGTTGATGAGAGTTCTGATGATGAAGAGGCGTTGGGGGAGATGGAGGTTGATGAGAGGGATGGGGAGGGGAGCGGGGAGACGTCTGGGGCGGAGACGTCGGATGGAAAGTTCGGCGTCCTGGCCGAAGGGTTGAAGCATCAAGAGAATGTTGCGATACCCAAAGACCCTGTTGGCGACGGCGAAGTCGAGGACGGAGAAATCGACGAAGACCAAAAGTCGGAGCCAATGGACGTCTCCGAAGACGGCGAGATAGACGAAGGCGAGGTTGTGGAAGACGAGCAGCCGCCGGCCGAAACGCTCGAGGAAGCACGCGCTCGACTCCTCGCCCAGATAGACACTGCGGCGGCCGTCGAGGATGCGCCATCCGAGGCACCATCAGAAGAACCCATCGTGGAGGAGGCTGCCCACGACGGTGAGGGCGATAGTGAGGCTTCGGACCAGCTGCGGGCGCGGATGAACATGCGGGCTACGCTTAACATGATTCTGACTGTTGCCGGTGAGTTTTATGGGCAGCGCGATTTGCTTGAGTTCAGAGATCCTTTTACAGGTATGTAAGCAAATTCAAACATCAACTTTGAGCAAGATAGGAGGACAACGGATAGAGAAGGGCTCTAGAGGGAACTTCTTTCAAAAGGTGACTCAAATTTGCTGGCTCGCGAGGGCTCAGGGGTAACGTGCTAGCCTATGATACCAATACAATAAAAACACAATGGCGCAGACCATTAGGCTTTGAAGAGGCGTAATACAAATTCGACTATTCATACCGCTCGCGAACAAGATTTGTCGTCTCTTGCTCACGGTTCCTCCACGCGCCCTACTGAACAAATGTCCTCAAAGCAGCTCTTGCCGAGTACAAGTGAAACAGAAACACACTCCGTGATTCTCTGCGACCTAAAAGAAAACTCCAGGCGCCCGCCTCCGTACCATCTCGGTACTCAAACAATATCATAGCACAAACAACTCCATCTCCATCTAAACATCCGCGTAGAAGGAGGAAGCCTCCTTTATGCATCGCTCATATCAGTGTCAGGCGTAACAAGGAAATCCGCTTCCTCGAAATCATCCACGACAACGTTCTCCTGCCCCAGCCTGGTCTTCAAACTACGACGGCTCTTCCTCGGAACAGCCAGTGGACGAGCGTTGGCCCACCCAGACGGGGCCAGGCTCCGCGGGCTCACCTCGCCCTCCAACCACGCCGCGCGATCCGCCCACATCTGCACCGGCTCGTCGCTCTCCTCGTCGTGAGCGAAGAAGCGCTTCTTGCTCCGTCCGTCGCTGGCCGTGCTCTCGACGCTTTCCACGCTCTCTTGGGAGCTGCACAGGCCCGGCATATCGTCCAGCCCAGGCACGCTGCTGTCGTCGAGTTCGTAGTCATCCTCGTCGCTGGAGTGGTGGACCGGCTGGCTGGAGAGGCCTCCGACCTTGTTGATGCCGCAGAAGGGCAGGAGTTCACGTTGAGAGGCGGCGCTGCGGTGGCGGTCGGTAGAGGTGGTGGTGATTGACCGGACGACGGGGGTACGGCGGTCCGTGGCGTCGGTCCACAGCTTGAAGCTGCTATAGGATCCCGTCTTGTAGCCCTCGGGCACGGACTTGCGGACGCGCATGCCGACGGAGAGGAGGTTGGATTGTACGTCCGAGGGGATGGTTTCTTGGACGTTGGGCGAAGGACCGGCCGGGGGAGGAGCTGGGCCAGATCGGGTGCTGAAGAAGGAGGTGATTTGGCGCTGGGAGGGGTCGCTTGATGCGCCGGCGAAGAGACGTTTCGTTCTCGGGGCCGACATGGTTGTGATGAGATTGAGGAAGTCGAGAAACTAGCTGAAGTTGACACAGTCGGCCTTTAGAAGACTGGTCGAAATTGACGTTGAGGAAGAAGCGTGGCTCGTCGTGGAGGCTGTGGTCCAAGCGTTGGCTTCTTCTCGGTCGGCGTAGGAAAAAGTATCGTGAGATGCAGTTCGGTGGTGTAGAGTGGAGAGTTTCAATTCGTCGACCGAAAAAGCGTAGGAGGTGGTAACCGTAGAAACGATCGCAAGCGAGAAATGACGTACAGAAGCGAGAGAGGATATGTCGTTGAAGAGAGATGGGCGGGGAGGAGGGGAGAAAGAAGTGGTTGGGAAGATGATGGGAGATTAAGTTGATACGAGAAGAAGGGGGAAGGAAGGGGTAGTGGTGGGGGAGATACTGAAGGACCTGGGCCGCTGGGTCGGGCGGTTTTCCAAGGTTGCGAGAAACGGGCAGCCCAGAGTGGCAGAGAAACGGAGGGACAACGCATGGGACATCCGACGATCCGCGGCAGCTGGGCGATTAGGCGAGAGAAAGCGCGTCTGGGCGTGTTTTTTCGCGAGACTCGCGCGGCCAGAGCCCACTAAAATCACTAAAAAACACTTTAACTGTGCTGGTGGGGGACCATGTGCCCTGAAACTGACATTGACCGGCGGATGATTGGCGCCCCTGCGTTCCATTCCCATTATTCCCATTGCCCCCTTCCTTGGTCGGGGCGGGTTTCTCTTATTCAAGTTTGCTGCTGCTCCACGGGCCGCCTCTTGCCTCAAGGAACGGGAGTCCGTTTGACAACGGGCGACACGGCCTCTTCAGAATCGGCCGAGAGGGCAAAGGAGGCGGAGTTTTATCTCATCCATGTTTTGTATTATAATGAGATTTTGAACAATGCTTCCCATTACGATTTTTGCATCCTTCTATTCTCACTCTCTCTTGCCCTTGTAGGTTAAGCGTCGGTGGCAATGAAGGTCGTGTCATCTAGCATGCCATCGCAGCAAGGTGACGCATTTAATAGGCGATCATCCTTAGAAACGGCCTTGATGTGCGCCTCCATTGTCCAATTGAGGCAACTGAATACACAAACAGGGCACTATGCAGGCCGTGAGGAGAAGCTCTAGTGGTGCAACAGCGAAAGCGTTGTTCAGAGCATGGCTCAAACCTTACCTACCCTCTTGAGGCCTTACAGTTTCAACGTTTTCTTTGGCAGATGTTCTGTTCCATGGAGAGATAGCTGCCAAGGCATCCCTGGGCTTTATCAATCCCAGCATCAGGCTCTCCAAATTAGTAGTGTGCCACTGATACTGGCACTAGGCTGCGGAGAGCAGTTTTAGGCAAAGTTGAGATATACTCGGTGATCCGGCCATTTGGGGAGCCACGGAGAGGCCGGTGTGAGGTGAAACAAATCTTAAGGTCGAGACACACGAGCCCGCCCTCACACGGCCATGCATCTTCACTAGCAACTTCAACATTCAAAATAAGTGGACAGCCAGTGGGGGTCGTCACAGATCCGTCAAGGTACACGCGAGCACGTCACTTCACCACATCCAAAGACACGCCACAAGATCACGAGAAAAACACATTATCAAGAGGCCGGCTGGGGCGTTTGTGGAAACCATTGAATTTCGCAAGCAGTGCTGATTCCTCCGAAACTCACTGCACTCCGGGTATGAAGCGATCATCAACCAGCGGTTCCACGTCCTCACGTCCAGGTCATCCCGTGGACCACCCAAACGCTCATGCGGAAAGCCATTTCCAGCTGTCCACCCCCCATGCAGAGAGATGACATAAAACTCCCATTGTCGTGTACTGACTGAAGAAACGCAACGCATCAAAAAGAGACGGGCGTCGGAACGAGACAGAGAATGAGGGAGTGTGTGCGTGGTGAGTGATTGGTTGCCTTTTTGTTTGCTTGTTTTGTCGGCCGCGTGAGGAAAGAGAAGAAAACTGAGGAAAAGATGCGTCGATTGGTGATGCAAAGGATATCCGGAGACCCCAAACGCCCCTGTGTTTTTTGGTCAAGAGATTTTTTTGGAAGCTCCATCTTCTATCCGCAAAGGTGTCTGATTATGTTCTGTTCGAAGACAGCAGACTCTAAGAGCCCGTGCCAGGGTTGTCTATACGCCCATGCCCAGGTCGCTTGCTTTTGCAGATCCGAGATGTCCCACCAGTGATGAACCGTCCAAGTCGTTAATACCCAAGGGCTAAAAGAAAACCGTCGAGGCGAACAGTTTACTTTCTGCGGAAAGAGCAGCCCTCAGTGAGTCTCGCCTTACCACCGGTAGGCTGGCAGAGGACGGTGGTGCATCCCTGGCAGATGACGACGGTCTGGGCGTGGGAGAAGACGGTGGTGATGGTGAAGCAACCGGGGCACTTGACGTCCATGAAGAAGGAGCGGGGCGCGGGCACAAGGGTCTGTCCAATGTGTGAGTATCATCATGTCTGTCACCACATGTTCGTGGTGTGGAGGGGTAGGGTAAGGTGAGGCAAGGTGAAGATGTTGTGAGGGTATCGTGGGTGTATCGTACCTTGAGCTTGTGCTTGCGGGCCTCGGCGGCCGGGGAGGGGTTGAGGAGATCAACGGCGAGAACCTGGGGGAGAAGCCATCAGCATGATGGTTCCTTCATCAAATGTCGCATGCGCAATCGTCGTGTCCTTCCTCCACAGCCCAGCCGTAACCATCTTTTCCTCCTCTTGCCATGATTTTTTTTTTTTCGCCACTCGCGTGTTCCCAATGCGGTCGGTTTATTCGGGTTTCGTTTCGTCGTGGAAGAAGACAACATCACACGGGTGATGCCAGGCATAAAATGCCATGGCAGCAGGAGGGCCTTACCATCTTGACTGATCTGATCGAGGATTGATTGATCGGTTATCGGATGCGAGTGCTGTCGGGCTTGACGGGAATCTGGTGGTGTTGAGAGAGCAGATTGTAGCACTCGCAAAAGAACGGTGATGATGGGGTGGTGGAATTGTGAGCCAGAGAGGGGACCCGTCCGCCAAAAATCCTCTCTCCGAGGACCCACATTAAAAATTTAGGGGAGGACAGTGTGCCGAGGAGGGCTGGATCACGGGACTTGACGCCTACACTTCACTATCGCCTGTGATTGGCTGCGGACCTGCTGCCCCGGCCATCTTACCTAAGGCAAGTGCACCCGCAAACAGCTTGGTGAGGGCGGGGTGTCACCGCTGGCCTGGCCGCTGGTCACCTTGAGCCGCTTCCATGTTCCATGTCATTCTTTCCAGGCAGTCGGGTACTTAGGCATCTGCGATATTAACCTGCAGCCTGAAGTCACTGCCCATATCATTAAGGTGTCAGTAGCATCCACCAACATTTAGCCTCTGGCCTTGGACACATAAACACTCTCACCTACGTACCTTACTGCACTTACGCTTGCTCGCATACAAAATACCGTCACAATGGCAGCGCCGATGGACCAGAGGATACAAGTCCCAATCGATGATCCCAATGCAGATACCGAGTGGTATGTTATCTCGCGACAGCTACTCGGCGACTCCTGACACGTGCTGCCAGGAACGACATTCTCCGGAAACATGGCGTCATCCCAGAGAAGCCTCCCAGCCCGACTCCCATGATCGAAGAGGCCATCGCGGAAGGTCGCAGGTTAGCGCATGAGAATCGACTTGAGGGCAAGGATCTCGACGAGCTTGATGAGCTGGAGGATGACGAAGATGAGGCATTCCTGGAACAATACCGTCAGCGCAGAATGCAAGAGCTCAACGAGCTTACCAAGAAGGCCCTCCATGGCACCGTCTACCCGATT